GGGGCGGTGTCACGGCCGCCCGGCCCGCGCTGCGGCTCCTCCTCCTCCTCTTTAACCCTCCCTCGGCCGTGAACCTGGCGCGGGCCGAGGCGTTTGTGCGGGGAGGGGAAGGTTCGTGCGTCGTTGTTGTCCGGGCCATGCTCTGTCTGCGGGAAGGGGTACGGACGAGAGGGGCCTGTCAAAGCTTAAAGGGAAATCGTGGGAAGCAAGCCCGCACCCCCGGCCTTGACCGCTTTGAAACCAGGTGCCTGAAGAATACTGGAGGCGCAATTAGTAATAATAATAACAACAACAAAAATAATAATAATAATGTAAAGGTGGTGTCTGTAAGTCCCCTCAGCTCCTGCAGCCCGGGCGGCAGCAGGGAGGCAGCCACCCAGGTGGCCAGGCTGGAGCTTTTGCCTCAGGCTCAAGCCTGCTGCAGTTTTGCGGGAGAACACGGCAGTATACATGTTTGACAACACTGCAGGGCCTGGGCACCTTCACTCTCTACTGTCATCCCACTCAAAAGATACCAAGGCTGGAGTTATCCCTGTTGTGAGCGCTGAGGAATGGAAATAACGGGCTTGCAGGTCTGTGGCACCTGGATCTAACTGCTGCCCCCAGCAGCTTGTGCGGCCATGTCCAGACTCTCAGCTGTGAGACGTCCCTCTCCCCAACTCTCCTGCTGTGAGAGATACCCAACCACACCAGAGGCCCGAGCAGAAAAAAAGCCTTTCAGAAAAACCTTGTCTTGCTGCCCCTCACCTAATGCCCTGAGAAGCTTCAGCAGGAGAAACAGGCCATCTTCTCTCCCTCCCTGGTGGCTTCCAAGCGCAGCGGTCCTGCCCCCAAACATCAGGTCCTGGCTGAAGAATCGAGCAGGCCCAAGCAAGGGCTCATTGGGGGGCAGCTGGTCACAGCCACTTTTGAGGAAAGGATCTCAAACGTGGCCGGGGTCCTGTAGAGCGGGAAGAGAAATGACCACATCTCTCAGGCAGCAGAGGTGGTGTGAGGATGCAGCACACCCTGTGCAGCTGCACAGGAGAGCGGGGTGGTGATGGAGCAAGGGACTGGGGATGGGAAATTGCCATGCAGAACTTTTAGTCTTGGAGAGGGAAGGCTGGGACAAGTGGTTTGGACGGCAGTCTCACCCGTAGATGGTGCCATAGCCTCACACTAAGGGGATGTTGCATCTGCTGAAGTTGTATTCACGTTCTTCTGCCTCCTCTTTGCCATGTAGGGTAGAAGAGCGATGTGTTCCTACACACTGCACTTGTTACTTTCATTGTGCCTCCAATCAATTTGATTTACACCAACCATAGTTTCCTCTTCAACTTAACTGTTGAGAGCTTGAGCCTTTCATTAGAAAGTTCAGTGATGTCAGGGTTTAATTGCTCACCACAGTGAAGCTGCAAACCTTTACAACACTGTAAATTAGGCCACTTCTATTTTCACACCTAATACTTCAATATCTGTATTTAGAAACGTGATTCCACATTCCAGTACCTGCTCAGGCATATGCTCTGCAAAGAACATACCCCTTGGTGAGCAAACCCAGCTCCCTATCAGCTATCTTCTGATGCAGCCTTTTGGATTATGAGACAGAAAACAACCAGCTTATGAAATAAATCATATGAAACTTTCACTGAAGAAACTAGAAGCAAATCCACTACTATATAAGTTTCAGTCTGACATTAGGGTAAGCTGCTTCATATAAAACTAGCTGAAATCTCTGGTAGCTCACGACAGAAACGTGGCCCATTTAAATCTACAAATGAATGTGCTTTGTTTAACAGAAGGGAAATGCAAACAGTATCTCAGGTATTTCATTATTAATGGTAAGGAAACAATATGTAAATAAAGCCCCGTTGCTATGAAATGTCACACAGCATAGCAGCATACTTAGGCTAACTTGTTAAACTTTAACTGTTATATTAATGAATGACTATTCAAATGCCCTTGTTTGCAGGGTTACTCAAGAATAATACCCTCGCTTTCCTAGATAATAAGCTGTTCAAACTGACCTTCAGCACTCTGAACTCCTATTGTCTCCTTTTTTTCTTGACAAGACCTTACATTTTCTGAGATTTCCATGAGCTGTTACAGACAAATCCAATGACTGTGTGCTTACGATAGTCACCACCCATCAGTGACTGGTTAAATGATTTCCCTAGTTTATAGCTCATTCAGAGTGACAGGTAAAATCCTTTTAAAACTCGGGATATCTAGTCATGCCTCTTTCAGTCATTGCCATCCAATGACTTCACAAACCAGCTACTGGCTTCCTATCAGTAATTTTGATGAAGCTCCATTATGAGTGCATTTTCTCCTTTCTTTACCACTACATCTCTGGTAAGGCCACCCAAGGAAATTTTTTTTGAAAACAAGGTTTTATATAATTCGAAAAGGCCTGTTAGATTAGTGAGGGTGAGAAGGGAAGGGAGAGGTCATCTTTAAGGACCAAAATTGAATATATTGTATCAGAAATAAATCATCCATAAAAACGAGCCAGGAAAACGTGTATCTTTTCATCAGCAGAACACAATATAGCCCATGCACTGCATGGAGGCTTTTAGCACTTTCATTTAAAAAAAAAATAAAAAAATAATCAGAATATATTATTTAGCAAAGCATATTACCTTGTCATACTAGCTGCAGCAGGTCTTCTATGCTGTTGTGAGGAGATGATGTTTGAAAGGTTGAATAGAGAGATCAAAATACAAATGTTGCAGATATTTTTTCCAGAATGGGCAGGTTTTTTTCTCCACCCTGGAAGGGAAGCATTTTATAAAAAGTATCTCTCAGAGAGCTAGGTCCTGCTTTGTCTGAGCTGCTTGTTCTTATAAATTAAACTTGGAATATTTTAGACATGACAAAATGACCCTGCTGTAATCACACCCATCCATACTGGAGTGCTGCTGCAGCACACTCACAAATCACTGCCACGGTTTCTGCCTGCCTTGGCTTGAAAGTCTTCACAGAGCATCTACAATACCATTAGGTCCTGCAGAGCTGGCCAAAAGCAGGTCCCTTCATTATGCTTGAGACTTCGTTAGAACATTAGAGTAAATGAAAGGCAACAACGACAGATCTCCTCCCTTTTGTTACCCTGCAGGCCTTACATGACTCATGTTCCCTACCTTGTGTCTTGCCAGCTTTCATTTTATTGTGACTGGTATTTTGTGTCTTGTATTTTAATGTTTATTTTTATTACCTTATTCCTGGATACAAATGCAAAGACATTAGAAAATACAAAAATAGCAGACTTGTTCTGATGGGTGTAGATCTCACAAAAGGAGATGCTGTTGCTTTGTTTCATTGTTGTATGGGTGTAGTCCTCTTTGACAAAGTGACCACAGCTCTTGTTTGGATTAAACATTTAAGGCTATTTTCTCACTGCAGTAGGAATAAATAGTGTGGACTTTATCCACAGCTTAAATCTTCATTTTCATTGTGCCAAAGGCCTAGCTTTCTGAAAGTGTCTGAATGTCCCTCTCTTTCCATCAACTGCGATGTTTGCTACTTTGTGTACAGACTATTGGTTTTGGTGGCGAACTGTACATAGATATGGAAGGACTAAGCTGTATCAAATTTCTAGTTATCTGCATTGCCAGGCTGTTTCTACAGTCATGCAGTGATGGCAATCACAGACTCTTAAATTCCTGAAGTTTTTAATTCTAAACAACAGTTTATGTCCTCAGAAGAATCTGTTATCACATGCCTACCGAGATAGAAATTTCCAACCCTTTCTTTATACTTACTATGCTTCTATTTAGATACTGCCCCTTACAGTTCTTATGTTACAGCTTTTCTTAATATTTCTATAATGAGGGGATAGCTAATAATAATATGATGTGTTGCACTACCATAGTTCTATAACTGTATCTAAGCCATATA